TTTTTAAATTATTCTTGGGGAGACTTCCATATCACTGTAAATATTTTCTTTTTACCAGTCTGGTTAAAAGGCCTTAGGCTTTGATGTCTCGGAATTTAGGATATTTACTTTCTTTGTAAAAAACTTCTAAAGGTACAATTTAGATTAAGGTTTTAGGCGAAGTCAGGACATTTCGCACGTAGCTCCAAAACAATGAGCTAGATAAGGAGATAGATCCTATCTTCTTCCTGAAACTGGCTAATGGGCAATCTTTACAAACATTCAAACTATTTCATTCAATATGACACACCTTAACACACAGTGTCACCCATGTCATGAGTCTTGCTTGTCTGCAGCTTGAAGTGCAGTTCTCCCCAAACCCTTGAACCTACCTCCTTGAAACTTGGCAGGCTTTGTGCCCTCTGTAGGGGCTACCATCCCTGCAGTTTTGACCCCACTGTGGCTTAACACATACATGTAACATGTGTTTTGCTTCCAGGACTTTGAAGTGTGGTTTCCCAGAAACCCCTTCACTTATCACCTTGAAACTTGTCATGGGTCATGCTCTTAGTAGGGCCTACCATCTGTGCAAGTTTCATCTAAATCAGCCAAAAGACAACAAAGTTATAGATATTTAATTGATCCCCATTATACTCTATGGCTGAATCAGCTCCAAATCGATTTGGAAAGCCTAAAGCTTCCAGCAATTAGATTTGGACTCCAAATCATCCATATCATCTCTGCATCATGATCCAAAGCTTTGCACAGCTCTACCGTCCAGTATATTTCCAATATTTCCACAGCTCCCTCTTCCTTGATTCCTAGACCCCACATTGAGATTGGGTCTCAGGAACTGTGACATGCAGTGGAGGCACCTGGTTTTTAGGCATTTCCCATCTACTCTGCTGCTTTATCAGAATCCACAGGCTAAGTTAGGCACTTAACTCTCCCTGTGCATTGTATCGGAAGCTTAAGTGCCTTAGAATGGGCCCATACAATGAATGAGAAGACCCCTGATCTAGCCAACAAAAAAACACTGAGGAGAGGTGTAAATTTTAAATCCCATCCCTCTCCAGGGCTTGGGCACTGTTCTCAGCCCTACCAGGAAGTGTAGCTCTGGATTCACAGCCTAGAACTCTATCCTGAACGTGGGTGCTTACATTATCTCTGATGGATACAGAGCAGGGTCAACCTTCTTTCAAAACACAGTATGAAGACCATGCCACATCAACCCATTCCATCCATAAATATTTCAGTGCTTAGAGCCCTTACCTGGGATCTAAGAGACCTAAGCTCAGGGCCCACCTCAGTCTGAGGGAATTGCAAGCCACATCTCCCAGGAGACTGCTTTCATTACCAGACTAGAGGCTAGGCTGGTGGGGGGCACCCTCCATCACTCCTGTTCAACCTGTTTGACTTTGCATAGCATTATTAATCATTGAGTCAGGAAGAGCTAGGCAGTGTACGTACATTACTTCAGCCTGCTGAGAGGGGGTATTCTCATGGGGGAGTCAAGGTTGTAGTCCCTACTTCAGAAAGTACTTCTGTATCTGTATCCAAACCTGTTTAATGCAGAATACAAACATAGTGCTTGGATCAGGGTATGGAACCCAGAGCTGTCCTCATCCAGGTGAGTGCCCTGATCAGCAGGGAACACAGTCACTGCCACCACATTTTGGCCAGACCCTGGACAGTGTTCGGATCACACCTATGGAATCAAGGCCCTCAGGCAAGATAGGCAGAGGAATCTGTACTTTGGTGGACTTCAACAGGGTGTAAGTGCTCACATTTAAGGTAAACTGTTCAGCCCAATTAAGACTGTGGTATTCTGGGTATGTCTAGAAGCAAAATTTTAGGTGCAAGAGTTCCTTAATATCAACTATTTAGGCACTTAAGTGCTTCTAGGATTAGGCAGCAGTTGAATGTGTGCATATGTGTGTGTGTGGGGGGGAAAGATTAAGGATCTGAAATTAAGACATAGGTATTCAAATTCTGCCTAAATCCCACTGAGACCTCTTGTAGACCTGTACTCCAGTCCAAAGTTCAAATTGCTTATCACCCTTGTGTTTGTTTCTCATGAATGATGATTCATACACTTTTGCTTTCAGTTCTATTAAAAATAAGTGTTTCCCAGAATAGCTGCTAGTGTCATCTTCCCTAAGGCACGTAACACACAGAGGACCTTGTTGTCAAGCTTGATAGTTAACTTAATAGTTAACCTGACCTAAAAACTGACTCATTGTCCATGCACAAAGCATCTCCCTAGAAGCTTCTACCTGGAGGAACTTCTGTTCATGTTACTCCCCTACAACTATCTGAATTTAGACTGAATTTAGTAGGTCTTTACACTGAAACTATAAATGCTTCCTCCTTTCCCCTGTCCCATTGAGCATGACAGGCCAGTTTTCTAGTGTAACAGTTGCATTAACCCTAAGTGTAACTATGACTTGCAGTTTATTTGACTCTTTAATCTATTGTTTTAGGACTAAGGTAGAGGTATGGTTTTGTATTCGTAACTCCTTTTCTATGTGGTACTATATTAGCAGGATCCTGGCTGGCACGTTTTGAAATAGGATACATAATTAGTGCTGAAGCCAGTAAGGAAGGTTGAATTCTATATCAACACGCAACTCACTTGTTCTCCATGTAATTATATATATCTTACCCATTCATCTAGCCAAATTCCCAAGTCACTCTGTTTCCCGTAATGTCCAAGGTCACAGGATATTGTCATAAGAGCTCCCTTCTGACCTCTTTCTATGCTAGCCTCCCCGCTCGCCCCGCCCCCCCCCTCCCCCCCAAGTAAGCAAGCTTGGTTCTGGTCTTTTCTGTCCATTTACTAATATTATCTGTTCACATATTGCTTGGTTGACCTCTTCTTCTCCTTCTGTTTTCTCTTACTTGAAGTATGGTGCTGGCCAAATGAGGACGTCTCATAACATCTCTACATCTGAATTATGTCAAGGAGGCTTTCTTATTTTCCAACAGCAGTTGCGAAGTTCCAGCAGCAGTTCCAGCTGCCTCTTCGATTTGTCCTATGAATTGCATACAGTATCTTTAAGAGTCATCTGTAGTACTTCATTTCAAAGCCTTGTGTTTGTCTCTTTACACCTACATTTGGGGTCCAGCTTTCAAATGTGCATATAGCTTGTTGATATTGCCATTAATCTAAAAAGACAGATCCTTATTTTGATAGAGAGATCCTTGTCCTTCAAGACCTTAAACAGTTTTCCTTGTACTAGTTGCCATTGAAATTCTTGTCTGTACTTCTGTCTGACCTAGAGTTTTCTGAGAGATTTGACTTCAAATATTTTAAAAGTTTAATTTTTCAGGATGCCTCCCTTTTGAATGTTTGTATCTATATTGCCATGTACATCCACAGACCTGATATTTCTTTTGCCCACAGTGATCTCCATTTCATGAAATGTTGCTATAGTGTTTAGGCCCTGTGTTAATTCTGCCAGTTCCCTTACTGATCCTGATCAGCTTGCTTTTATCTTTTGCCTTCCTCTAGTAGGGGACATGGTCCTCTTCCTTGGATCTCTCCAGTGTATTTTAACAATGCTTTCAGCTGCAGGACCTTTATAATGCCCTTGTCCTCCTATTTTACCTATGGCAGATTAGGGAGTTCTTAGGGGAGGCAGGGGTGGGCAGTGTACCTTGCAGTTGTGCGAAAGGTGGTTGCGTAGTTTTACAAATTAGTTAGACAAACACTTGTCTAGAATAGTTTAGATAGGGATGATTCTGCTTTTGAGCAGTGCATTGGACTACATAATCTCCAGTGGTCTCTTCTACCTACAGTTGATACTAACCTATCAAAGTGTTCAAGTGCATCTGAAGAGAAAAGAAAATGCCCACCTATCTTACATCAATGTAAATCTTAAATTCTTCCCATAAGGTAACTCCCTGATGAGAAAAAAAAATAAGAAGAGTTGCTGTAGAGTGATGTGATAGTATACATACTCCCTGGATTGATATTATGCTTTGTCACAAATCCCCATAAAGCCAAACACAATCAACGTTTCTTGTTTTTCTAGTTGTAATGTATTTCCATTTGGTAGCCAATACACTTTATGCAAAGTATTCTCAAATTGCAAATCTTCTCAGGTGTATTAAGGTCTTTTGTGAAACCTGCCTGTCCTGCTGGTATTATATTTTCTATCCGTGGCTTCAATTAACTCGGCAAAATGTGTAGTAGTACTTTGCTTGGGTAACTAATCAGGCCTATAGTTCTGCACTTACTGCATTCTCACAAGCTTACTGCAATCTCACAAACTTGTGAGAATTGAATTGTCGCTATCGATCTTGTCTATTGCTCGGCCAGTTTCCAGGCTGCCATTTAATGTTACAGATCTTAGGAAGGATCCCAGTCATTTATCACTCATCCCTGTTTTACAAATTCAGCAAGGATATTGTCATCTCCTGTACCTTTCCTGTTTTTTACACTTTGCTATTGCTGTCTCAGCTTCAGCCATAAGGATTCCTTAACAACTCCTCGTATAGGTCATTAGCAGCATTTGATCCTTAAATCTCTAGCACTACAGTATTAAATCCTACCACTTAATCTCACAGAATGAACTAGCCCTTAGGCTGTTATCCTCTAGCAGACTAGTCCTAAAAGAGGGCATTAGCACTCACTCTGGTGTGCTATGTAGAAGAAAATAATGGTACCTGTGGCATATACACTGAAATTGAAGGTTCTCTCTGTTCATGTCTCATAGCAGGTCTCTCTGAAGAGGGCACTACTGAAGTATCAAGGACCCAGCAGAGCAACCAGAATGGTCCTATTTTGCCAGAAAAAGTTGATGTATCTGCTCCATCTGATTATTTTCTTTCTGGCTGTGGGGTCTGTTGCCCTGATGGCTTATGCCCTTTTGGTGGAAGCTGGAAACATTGTCAACCTTCCTAATAAAAGAATTGGCTTTTACAACTTCTGCCTGTGGAATGAGATGATTGAAGACCTGCAATGCCTGATGATCAAGGACTTTGAGAAGATAGACATTCACCAGGCTGTGATAGTGGTGGCAAGGGTCTTTGTATATTCTCCCCTGGTCATCTGTCTCTTTTCATTACATCTCATTGTGCATGTACAGTATAGTAAAGACAGAATGGAATGGGAACTGATCCTTACGATGCTGGGCATCACAACCATAATGTTATCTGGTGGCCTTAGCTTGTTTTTGTTTCAGGTCTGGCCTTGGATACAGGTCTCTGAGCTTTCTGGAGCTTTCATAGCATTAGCTGGGGCTCAGGTTCTGCTGGTGCTCCAGCTGGTTGCTGCAGCTACATATCTCAAGTGGGTGAAGAATAATCTTATCAAGGGCAGCTCTTCCCTTGAGGAGCAACTTCCACCCTTGCAAGTCTGAAGAGAGAGAGGGAGACATACCACAGGTGCCTTTCCATAGTCGGCATGACAGTAACTATAATTGCTTTGATTGCTTATACTTTTTTT